TGATGAAGGCTACGCCTCCTCTTTATTTGCTCTGACACCTTGTTTCATCATCAGATTAATGAAAATATTTCTCAGCTGAGTCACTGATATATATTTGTAGAGGCTTATTATTGCAGCAAGAAGGAAGCTGAACGCAAATACTTGAGCATGAAGGTTAAAATGTTGAAATCATCCACTTTATGTGATCTGAAGTATCTGGCAGCATCAAAGCAAATCATCAGAGCATGCTGAATAACTTCTTCTGTGAGTTAGTTTGACTCAGTCTGAAAGTTTTTGCAAAAAAGGAAGAAAATAAAAGTTTACACACAAACATTCACAAAAGAAAAACATCCAAAAAAGAAACATTGCAAATTTTTACGTTGAACACTACATGGCAAATGATAATGTTCTGATTCAAAGAGAAAGAACCAAAACATGTACCAGACACAGATAATGCTGTTGGTTGAGTCACTTTTACTGTTCTGTTCAGCAAAAGCAATTACTTGTGTGAATATGATGGGGAAAAAAAACTCCCAGACTTATGATGTAAAGCAGTGAAAGGGTTTCTAGATGTTTCAGAGGCATATATGAACTTAAAACAAAAATTTGTATGCTTTTATTTTGTGAGACCCCCCCCCCCCCCCCCCCCCCCAACCTTGTATCCATCCATCCATCCATCCATCCATTTTCATCCACTTATCCGGAGTCGGGTCGTGGGGGCAGTAGCCTAAGGCGAGAGGCCCAGACTTCCCTCTCCCCAGCAACTTGGGCCAGCTCCTCCGGGGGAATCCCAAGGCATTCCCTGGCCAGGTGAGAGACATACGGTAGTCCCTCCACTGTGTCCTGGGTCTACCTTTAGATCTCCTCCTGGTTAGACGTGCCCGGAAAACCTCACCAGGGAGGCGTCCAGGAGGCATCCTGACCAGATGCCCGAGCCACCTCAACTGGCTCCTCTCGATGTGGAGGAGCAGCGGGTCTAATCCAAGCCCCTCCCGAATGACCGAGCTTCTCACCCTATCTCTAAGGGAGAGCCCAGCCACTCTTCAGAGAAAACTCATTTCGGCCGCTTGTATCCGCGATCTCGTTCTTTCGGTCACTACCCAAAGCTCATGACCATAGGTGAGGGTAGGAACGTAGATCGACCGGTAAATCATGAGCTTCGCCTCCTGGCTCAGCTCTCTTTTCACCACGACAGACTGGTACAATGCCCGCATCACTGCAGATGCAGCACCAATCCGCCTATCAGTCTCACGCTCCAGTTTTCCCTCACTCGTGAACAAGACCCCGAGATACTTAAACTCCTCCACTTGGGGCAGGACCTCATCCCTGACCCGGAGAAGGCATTCTACCCTTTTCGGAATCAACACCATGGTCTCAGATTTAGAGGAGCTCATTTTCATCCCAGCTGCTTCACACTCGGCTGTGAACCACTCCAGCAAAAGCTGAAGATCACGTTCTGATGAAGCCAACAGGACCACATAATCTGCAAAAAGCAGAGACCTGATCCTCAGGCCACCAAAACAGATGCCCTCCACACCTTTGCTGCGCCTAGAAATCCTGTCCATAAAGGTTATGAACAGAATTGGTGACAAAGGGCAGCCTTGACGGAGTCCAACTCTCACTGGGAACGAGCCCGACTTACTGCCGGCAATGGGAACCAAGCTCTGACACCGGTCATACAGGGACCTAACAGCCCGTATCAGAGGGCCTGGTACCCCATAGTCCCGGAGTACCCCCCACAGGGCCCCCTGAGGGATGCGGTCAAACACCTTCTCCAGTTCCACAAAACACATGTAGACTGGTTGGGCAAATTCCCACGCACCCTACAGGATCCCCCTAAGGGTATAGAGCTGGTCCAGTGTTCCTCGGCCAGGACGAAAACCACATTGCTCCTCCTGAATCTGAGGTTCAACAATCCGATGGACCCTCCTCTCCAGAACTCCTGAATAGACCTTACCAGGAAGGCTCAGGAGTGTGATCCCCCTGTAGTTGGAACACACCCTGTGGTCCCCCTTTTTAAATAAGGGGACCACTACCCCAGTCTGCCAGTCCACTGGGACTGCCCCCGATGTCCACACGATATTGCAGAGCCATGTCGGCCAACACAGCCCCACAATATCCAGAGCCTTAAGGAACTCCGGGCGGGTCTCATCCACCCCTGGAGCCTTGACACAGAGGAGCTTTTTAACCACCTCAGTGACCTCAGCACCAGAGATTTGAGAGGCCAACCCAAAGTCCCCAGACTCTGCTTCCTTACTGGAAGACATGTCGGTGGGATTGAGGAGGTCTTCGAAGTATTCTGCTCACCGATCCACAACGTCCTGAGTAGAGGTCAGCAGCACACTGTCCCCACTATAGATAGTGTTGGTACGTACTGCTCACCGGAAGTAGTGCTTTCCTTCACCCCCTCCAAGGTCTCCAAAAAGGGTGGGTAGTCTGAACTGTAGTTTGGTGCATAAGCACAGACCACAGTCAGAACCCATCCTCCCACACGTAGGCGGAGGGAGGCTACCCTCTCATTCATTGGGGTAAACCCCAACGTACAGGCACCAAGATGGGGGGCAACTAGTATGCCCACCCCTGCTCTGCGCCTCTCAGTGGGAGAAACTCCAGAGTGGTAGAAAGTCCAACCCCTCTCAAGGAAACTGGTTCCAGAGCTAGAGCCATGCGTTGAGGTGAGTCTGACAATTTCTAGTCGGAACCTCTCAACCTCACAAACCAACTCAGGCTCCTTCCCCACTAGAGAGGTGACATTCCATGTGCCAAGAGCCAGCTTCTGTAGCCGAGGATCAAACCGCCAAGGTCCCCGCCCTCGACTACCACCCGTCAGACACTGCACCCGACCCCTATGGCCCCTCCCACGAGTGGCGAGCCCATGGGAAGGGGGACCCACGTTTCCTCTTCGGGCTGTGCCCGGCCGGGCTCCATGGGTGAAAGCCCGGCCACAAGGCGCTCGCCAATGTGCCCCACCTCCAGGCCTGGCTCCATAGGGGGGCCCTGGTGACCCACGTCCGGGCGAGGGAACACTGTTTCCATTTATATAATTCATCATAAGAGGTCTGAGGAAGTTTGTAGCTGCAAACGAAACATAGCGGGAAAACAGGTAAACAAAACTGCTCTGTGTTTTAAAAAAGCATGGAATTAGAGATACGACACAGCAAGAACACGCCTAAGAAGATCATCATAAGAGGTCTTCAGGCTGCTTTTTGTCCGATCCCTCACCTAGAACCTGTTTGCCATGGGTGACCCTACCAGAGGCAGAAAGCCTGAGACAATTTAGCTCCTAGGATAATTGAGACACTCAATCCCCTCCACCACGGTAAGGTGGCAGCCCACCTTATATTGTAACTTATATTAAGCCATTTTACAGGATAATTACTGAAATTATGGCTGTGTTTGACCTCTTATAGAGATACACTCACTGTTCATCTTATAACCCATTAACGCAATTAACCAATCAGCCAATCACATGGCAGCAACTCAACAGGTTGAGCAGGTGTCCAGTAACCGGAAGGTTGCAGGTTTGATCCCTGCTTAGGACAGAGAAGGATGCTGTTGTGTCCTTAAGCAAGATACTTAACCCACCTTGTCTGCTGCTGGTGGTGGTCGGAGGGACCGGTGGCGCCTGTGCTCGGCAGCCTCGCCTCCGTCAGTTTGCCCCAGGGCAGCTGTGGCTACATCGTTGCTCATCACTATAAGTGTGTGAATGCGTGTGTGAACGGATGAATGATACACTGTAGTGCAAAGCGCTTTGGAGTCCTTACTCTCAAAGGCGCTATACAAGTGCGGGTCATTTATCATTTATCATGCCAGTTTGGACCCAATTCTCTGAGGAATCTTTGTAACATGTTGAAAAAGGCCGTTCTGAATGCATGTGGGGGTGGGGGGTCCAATCTTGAGCCTAAAAAAAGTGACCTTTGTGTTTCATTTTTATGTCTAGCAGATATTTTTCTGCAATCAAAATAAGTATGAGTTTTTATTTAAACAATGCATTTTATTATTTCCTGCAAGATTTCAAAATAGATACATTATGGTATTTTCAATAGTTTGGATTATTTTTCAATACATTTCAATAGTTCTATGGCCGATAGAAAATGTGTTTGACATTCTTTTCCATAAAGTCTCTCTCGCATAAAATTATTTCAGGGTTATGTCACTTTAGGAAAACAAGCTGGAGCTGGCTATGCCCACCCTTCCCCCATTCATGCTGCCATAAGCTGAGAAGCTCCAATATCCGGGAGGGGTTCAGAGTAGAGCTGCCGCTCATCAAACAGAAGCTTATTCTTGTACACAAGAGGTGGTTCTAGTAGTTAATATCCCCATTTGTGACATCACAAATGTAGACTTTTTTAAACATCTTGTTTTAGGCACAAATGTATTTAAAACAAACACTGACAGAAAACAGATGGAATGTTTTATTTCACATTTGTAGTGTTTATAAAGACTGGAGAGACCCACACCACAGCACAAAAAGATGCAAAATGTCAGTTTTGCCTTGCATGTCCCCTTCAACACAACTGTGTGTCAAAGAAGTGCAATACTCAGAATCTATTAACACTGTTGTCTTTGTTGGATAAACACCGGACTGGTTATATGTGGCCAAAGGAATAAAAGTATGACTGTGTGACATAATGGCAGAAACCAAAAGTTTGTGTGAGTATTATCAGTGACTGTCATTCTAACACTTTTGTAATAAAATTTTAATTTGATATAGGAAATTTTACAAAAATACACAATAGTTGTTTTACTTGTGATAACACTGGTCCCAGCAAGTTTTTGTTATTTTGAATATTTCCAGTCCAAGCTTCAATCCAGATTCTTGGCATTCTTTTAATTGGGCTGAGAACAATTGTCCAAGCATGAGAAGAAAATGAGTTTCACTGGAAGAAAACAGTAATTTAAATTGCTTGTTTTTTTCCTTTGCTTGCATTTTTTGGGCTCTTTAACAAGTTGAAAAATGCAAAGGCAGAATTAGCAATATTGTGACGGTTTAATCATTAGAAAAAAACAGGTTTACTCACCATTTTTGTCTGCTCTGCGGAAAATCTGCAGGAAATAAAACACAAGCAGGAAGGAGACAGTAATTAGCAACTTGTGAATAAGCTTAATGAGACAATTTCCTTAATAAAGAGCTACTGTAATTTCAGTGTAATTCTGTTGTGAGAAATGCACCAAACTGAGAAAAACTGTAATCTATGTTCATGATGTAGTTGCATCCACTAAACAGGATTATGTTCATGTGGGTCATCAGCATGAAGTTATTGAAGTTATCAAAGCAAACATGGCTGGAATCCGTTTTACTGTAATCTGTGTCTCCAAGTGTGCTGCTGTGATGAGTGGATGTCCCCACTGTGGGACTAATATATTCTATTCTATTCTATTCTATTCTATTCTATTCTATTCTAATTTAGTCAAAGTCAGCAACATGTTTACATCGGTGAACAGCTGAAGAGAGAATGTAAGCTGACGTTGGTAAGCTAGTTACAGTTTTTCTCAGTTGCTTTGGTACATTTCTCACAACAGAATTACACTTTGCACAGCAGTTAGTTCAACCTCCACAACATGTAGTCGTTTTGACTCAACCTAGTAGCGGTTTCATGTTCATTTTGTCCAAAGGCAAATGCCTTTGGACATGAAGCAGTTGAGTAAGTACAAATGTTAAAAGAATGGTCACTTTTGACTTGCTATTCATCACTATCTCCTTGCTTTTATCATGAATGTCATAATTATTTATACTTGTACCGGCTGAATAGTTATTGTCCTTACAACTAATAGTCTTCATTTCATTGCTCCTGTCATTGCACTCAAAATTGTTGAACATCTTGTCAAACAATTTGTACACCCATTTTGAAAACCTTATTTTTAAGGAGTTTCCATGGAAATCTCCATAAATTACTTTTCTCAGATGAACCTTATCTCACACTAATGAAAATTGGTGTGTGTCCTGGTGACAATCGGACAATGTATGTAGTGGTTTGGGATAATGTTAGCTTCCATCACTATGCTAGTCAGGCAGTGGTTTGCAGCACACTACAGGATGCTTATGGAGTTTCTTCCTCCCTACACTCCATTCCTAAATCGAATTGAGGAGTTTTTCTCTTCCTGGAGGTGGAAGGTATATGACAGGCATCCACATACCCAAATGACCCTGCTAACAGCTATGGATGCAGCTTGTGATGACATCACAGCAGAGTCCTGCAGAGGGTGGATTCGCCACTCCAGAAGATACTTTCCCTGATGCATCAATAGAGCTGACATTCCCTGTGATGCTGATGAAAATATGTGGGCAGACAGACGGGAGCGTCTAGATATCAATGATTGATATGCAGCAGTGTCTGATCAGTTTTTTTTGTTGTTGTTTCATAAGTACTGCAGTAAGGTTTACTGTCTAAGTGTTATGTTTGCTGTAAAATGTTTGTTTTACTGTATTTCCCCAGTTGCACAATGCTGTGAACAGTTTCAATTAAATATTATCAAGAGTGCATATGAAGTGTCTTGATTTTCCTTTACAATTTATGGTTTTCAACATGCCATGCATGCTGTCCACACTTGACATGTCATTGGGAAGCACCTACAAAGAAATCCGTCACAATGAGAACATGTTCAAACCATTTGATTTTGTGACCAAAGGTGCTGGTGTAATGACTTGTAATTGAGACAGCCCTGACACTTTGATTGATATAAGTACTTGCTTTTGATGAATATATTATCTGTTTTGATTAAGAGACTTGCTTTTGAAGCATTGACAACTTATTATGAGCAACCGACTTGCTTTTGAACAACTGACTTTTCGTTTTTATGAAGTGACTCACTTTTGCAAGTTGTCCACCATGTTTTGCAGTTTGCACTAATTGTTTTGAGGAAAGCCTTAATAGTGGTGCAGAGATAAATTCTGTTGTGAGAAATGCACCAAAGCAACTGAGAAAAACTGTAACATACCGCTCTCTATGAGCCCCCGCTAGATGCGCTACTTCTTCTGATAACTGAACTGGACATGAACTAGTTGAAGGAATGCTGGAGGAGTTTTGTTTTTGTTTTGATCGCAAAAACAATTTCAGGCTCTACTTTTCCCTTTGTTTACTACTCGTATCGCTCACTGTTTACATGCTTTTGCCGTCCAGCATGGTGGACCCACGTGATCAGGTGACGTCGGTGCAAAGGGTCAATAGAGGAGGGTTGTCTCACAAACAGGTGAAGCGGTGACCATGTCACAAACTAATGTAGGAGAGGGAACATGTGAGTGAGTCACCACAGTAGGAAGCCCAGCTTGCTGTGAGAGAGAGTAGCGAACGATCTGTGGCTGATGAGTGAAAACAAAAGAAAAACATTCAGGACTGAAGCTCCGTCAACTATCGGCTGGCCACGCGGCTGCATTTCTAAATATAGCATGTCATTTTGGCGGTGCGCGCAGCCGCAGCTCACGGTTCTGGGAGAACCGGGCATGCCCGTCCCATCTACTGCAGGTGGAGCTCAACGCTCCCCCCATCTCACCACCAGAGCGGAGAAAATCACATTCGCTTGAATTATACAGACGGGATTCTGTGTGTGAATTAATGCCGGTTAAATTATTACGTAAGTGTTGTTTGTGTGCATGTTGTTCAGTAGCTAATGCTATAATTAATATCATCAGTTTTTTTTCATAAGCCCTACACACTGTGCGTGATGCGCGTTTGGGGAGTGCAGGCGCTGGTTTAGCGTGAGAGATTGGAGGTGTGGCGTGAGAGTGTGTGAAGAGGGTCAAATGTGTGTGTCTCACGCTCAGTGCGTGAGAGTTGGCAGCTTTGCAACTGAGTCGTTTTTGGCTCCAAAATGCATTGTGCTCATCTACCGTGACATATCAGAATTTATGCCACTATTAGCCTACAGCTTTAAAGTGACAGTGTGTACTTTTCCTGCCAATAGGGGGCAGTACATACCCAAATCATTGCAAGCAAGCTGTATTTTTATGTTCCAACAAGACCTTGCATCATCAGCATGTTCAACTTCCAACAAAAAGCACATCAGACTCCCTTTCATCACTGGTAATGAACAAAGTCGTAAATGTAGAGATGGGTACCAAATTTGGTACTTTTTAAGGTGCCAACCAAATTCCGTGGTACCTACCAAGGACTGATTCATGTGATATGAAGTGGTGCCTCATTTCGTTACCTGTTCTTCACTAACGAGAACTTGTGAGACAGCAATTTACCAAGATAGACAGCAGGGCATGCGCAAGAAAGTAATGTCATCAGTCGCTGTAGGGAAGCATTAAACAGAGCAAACGGCATGGCAGAATAAATCCTTCTAAAGTTTGGCTTCACTTGACTAAATGTGATGGGTGACTGGGTGATGATGAAAAGAGAGGCATCATCATCTTAATCTGCTCCAGCTGCTTCCTACTTCTCTTCATAGGGTATGAAGATTATTGTTTTTCTTTGTATTTGAGTCCCAAAAAATGTGCTAAGGTTCAAACAAAACAAAAAAAAAGTTCAAAACAACTTTTGAAAAACTGCAACCCCCCCCCCCCCCCCAAAAAAAAAACCTTACCTTGAAAATCTGTATTTTTTTTTATTAAAGACTGACTTACTGATCCAACCAACGATTTGTATTTAGTATTAATCAAAAAGTTTTTCTTTCAAGAAGAAAAATATAAAACTGGAAATTTTGTTTGAGTGAAAATTTTCATTTTAAAAACTGGAAATTTTGTTTGAGCGTCTTAATTTTTTGTTCTCAAAACATTTTGTTTGATAAAACCTGTTATTTGATTGAAACAAACCTTGCTTTCCATCTGGGGCCTTGTTGTGGTTGATGAAAGATCTCTCTTCAATGGCCAGTGTAACAGAAGTGACGACAGCTTTTATTTTGAAAGCGACAAGAGGGCCTTTTAAACCTTATTGAAAAGCTATTGTATGCATGCAACTGTAATTGAATTGCTTCAACTAGATTGCTGGAATTACACAATACAGTTTTAAACAGTTAAAGGCAATGTTTGCAATGTTTCCATACAAACATTGCTTCTCTAACAGAGCCTCGGGTCTCAGCCCTCCACCCAAACGTTACTCTAGAACAGGGGTGGGCAATTATTTTTTCCATGGGGCCACATGAGAAACAGAAAATATTGTGGAGGGCCAGGCCAAAAGGCTGAAGTCAATTATGCATAATATTAATGGTATTTCTTTATAAAAAGCAGTAAATACCATTGTTTTTTCAAGCTGGTAAGAGTGGACTATATGTTATAAATGAGCAAAAATGAAAAAGTGAGGTTGGCTTACAAAAATGTGATTTATTCAAATTTCCCAAGGCAATGGTAAACAAAGTGCGCATTTGGTTTTTGTTAAACATTTGTGACTTATATTAGTTAACAGTTTCAGTCACATTCACTCCAAAACACATTCTGAGTTTCAAATATTGTTGGAAAGAGGTTCTTAGCATTCTACAGACACACAGTATTGTCTGTAAAATAAAATCACTGAACTGTGATCTTGAGAAAGAGGTTTAAAAAAATGTCCCAGTTCACTGCTAGTTGCCTACATTTGTGGTCCAAACACCTTATTTTGTGTTTTTAAGCGATTTTTTTTTCTTATTCAGTGAGAGAAATCTAGTCTCTGCTGGGCTTTAACGAGTGCATCAAAGTCAGGTTGAATGTCTGAGGTGGAGATGCGAAGCACAGCTGACAAATGATCCTCAGTGAGAGAGGATCTATACCTGGATTTTGTAAACTTCATCATTGAAAATGTTTGTTCACAAATGTAGGTAGAGCCGAAGAGAACCAACATCTTCTGAGCACGTCTCCTCAGGTTTGGAAAGTTCTCCTCCTTAAGAGAAGAGTAGAAATCCAGCAGAGATCCTGACTTAAAGTGCTCTGCCAGTACTGCATCAGACTGCAGGTCAATGCGTTCCAGCTGCACATCACTGGGTGCATTATCCACACTGCAGGTAAAGGGAGAGGAAATCATGTGCATTTCATCCTCCATTGTTCTGAGATCTTCAAAACGCCTTGAAAACTCACCATGTAATGCTCCTAACATGGATGAGTACCTGCTGAGGTGATCAGCTGATGGTGTGAC